TGGCCACCACCAGAGCCACTGGGAGTCCAAGGGCTGAGACTGCCCTAGACAGTAGGAGACGGTCTCAAAAGACAAGGACCACTTCATTTCCCCTCCCTCCCTCAGTGCCTTGTGTGTTGGCGTAGCCACGGTGCTGTCCGGCCTGGCATGAGCCCTCTTTAGGGTCTCTGGTTTCCAGGCCAACAGCAAACGTTCACGGCTCTGGGTCAGGCTGCATATATGTACAAGCATGGGTACACACACACACGGATGGAACACCACAGTGCACTCATACCACGTGTGTGCTTAATGGCAGTATAACTGTAGCACACACATAGTCATGTGTATACAGTCATAGTGCATGTACACAGTCACATGTGTGCATGGCAGCAGTGTACATGCATAGTCACATGTGCACAGTTCCAGCACATGCAGTTACATACATGCAGAACTGCAGTGCACAACATGCTCCCATGTATGCATAGCCATAGCACACATCCACAGTGAGGTGTGTGCGTGGTCGTGGTGCCCATGCAGTCACATGTATGCACAGTTCCAGTGTACATGCATGGTCACGTATATGCATAGCCATGGTGCACACATGCTCATGTGTGTCTGGCAGCAGTCAACACATACATTGATGTGTGCATGGTCACAGTGCACACGCTCGGTCATGTGTACACAGCCATAGTGTACACACATGGTTATGTGTGTATGGCCACACTGTAAACATATAGTCATACACATGCATGGGCACTACACATGCTTGGTCATGTATATGCACAGTTGCAGTGAACATGCATGGTCACATGCATAGCTGTAGTGTACACTCAGATCACATGCATGCATGGCCACCCTGCACATCTTCAATCACAGGTATGTGCATAACGCACATACACAGTCACATGTCTGTATAGCTGCAGTGCACATGCTCTGTGACATGCATAGTTGCAGTGCACACATCTCACATATGCGTAATCATAGTACATGGTCATGTGCATGCACAGCTACAGTCCAGACACACACACATAAGCATGATTGCTTTACACACACACAGTCACATGCATGTACAGCCATACTATATATATAGTCACATGCATACATAGTCACAGAGCCCACACATAGTCACATATATGCACAGTTTGCATGCATGGTAACGTGTAAGTATGGCCGTCCTACATATGCAGTCATGCATGCATGGTCACAGTACACACAGTACACATGCTCAGTCACAAGTATGCACATTAGAGCATATACTTGGTGACATGCATTCATAGCTCCAGTACACATGGTTGGTCACATGTGTGCACACTTGCACTGCACACACAGTGACATGTAGGCATAGTTGCAGTGTACATAGATGGTCACGTGCACATGTCCTAATAATGTGCAGCCCATGACAGTGAGGGGCTTTCCTCTCTGTCACGTGGAGGTGGTCCCTCTTCATGGCATGCGCAACAGCTCTTTCTCTGCCCTCACCACCCCGCATGGCCATGGGCACTCTGATGGCTGACAAGATGGTAACGTGGCACTCTAACATGGTCCACATGTCACGCCATCCCTCCACCACCTGCAGGCCCCGGTCGTGGTTCCAGATTAGGGCATGTATGCATAACCACAGGCACGTACACACGGATGGAGAGGCCAGTGGACACGTGATCACACATGGTTCGAGGAAGGGGTCAGCTCCCCCGTGCACCGGTGGTCAGCAAACGGCAACCCAGCTGCCTGTTCCCGCCTGGCCTGCGGCAGCTCCCACACTCCCTGGCACAGTCACCACCAAGCGTGAGACGTTTACTCCCTGGCCCTCGAGGGAGCCTGTTTGCTGATCCCAGTGAGACAGAGAGGCTGGGAGCCGGGCCTCGCTGATGGGTCCCTGCAGACGGCGGTGGCCTGAGGGCAGAGGACGGCTGTGGGTTCTGTATCGAGGGCTGATTAGTGGTGGACTTGCGTCCATTCTTCTGCTGTGCCGGCTGCTCCCTGCTAACCTCCAGCTTCAACACTGTCCTCAGCCTGGGAGTCTAGTCAGCGTGGCTCCATCGTTGAAAAGCGCTCCTCTGAGGCTGAAAATTCCTGGGAGCCCCCGAAGGGATTTCCACTCGTCTTTCTGAAAAAGCACTTTGTGTAACAGGGGCTGTGACCTGCCAGCGGATGCCTTTGTCTCATGACTCGCTGGTGCCCACCGTGCTCTCACGGTGACGCTGTCCCAGGCGCACCTTTCTGTGTGAGCCAGCAGCGGCCTGGTGGAGCCGGGGGGAGACCCGCGCTGTCGTCAGTTGCTGCGTGAGCTGCGACACTGTCCCCGAGGAGCCGCCCCACCTGGGGGACGTGGGGCTCCCATAGTAGTTTGTGAGGCAGGACAGCGTCCGCTTGGAGATGGGAGCAGCCCGTGTGCTGCTCTGCCGGCCGGGCTGGTGCTCTGTTACTCGTGGTTGCCATGGTGACGCCTGCGTTGCTAAGCGTGTGGACCTTGTTTTCTCACAGCTGAAGGACGACGCGGTTGCCCTGGTGGACGTGCTGGCCCCTCCTGACTTCATCCTGGACGCGCCGATTGGCAGGGCCGATGGCGAGGTGAGGCGAGATGGTGCTGGGTGCCCGAGGGGCCGGCTGCAGGGCCTGGGGTGATCTCAGAGCTGGGGGTCCCCGGTGCCTCCCAGGGATTGCCATGCGCAGGGGCAGCATACCGAGCCGGTCCAGAGCAGGAGGGGTGCGTGCCCTCCCCGCGCCGTGCACCGCGCCACCCCGGGGCCTCGGGCCAGTTGCCCTCCCCAGCCTGGCCTGACATCTCAAGGAGGTCACTGGGCGGTCAGCCAGGCCGCGCTCTTCAACTCCCGCCTCCCCGCCCCCGAGGCCTCCCCGCCCCCACCTGCTGCTGCAGAATGAACTTTGAAAAGCAGATCAGCTCCGGCTGCTACATGTCGGGCCCCTCACCAGCACCCACACGCTGGAGAGAACACCCAGGCTCCTGGCCCACCCCCCAGCCACGGGCGTCTTTCTGTCCGCACCTCTTTCCGCCCAGCCCCAGCCCCACGCTCAGTCCTTCCCCAGGGCCTTTGTACCTACCGCCTGGAGCGTTCGCCCTCTTGGGGTCTAAGCAGCGTGCGCCCCCACCTCCCACACGGTCAGCGCTGGGGTGTGGCCCCGCCCTCGTCGCTGCCTGCCCAGGTCCTTCGGTCTGGTGCTGCTGGCACAGACCTGCCACAGGGGGCGGCTCCCACGGACGTTGGTTCTCTCACAGCTGGGAAGCTGGGCTTGGAATTCAGGGCTCCTGCTCTGGGGAAGGTGCTGTCTCTACAGCTTCTGTCCCTTGGCTCCTGGTGGTCTCATTTGGCAAGCCTCTTCCCTGTCTCTGCTTCTCTCGCTCTGTCTGCTCTTATCTCAGGAGACGCTGAAGACACCGCCCCACTGACGCTGCTTTATTCACACAGCAAAGAAACCCCATCCCAAACAAGGGTTTAATCACCAAAACCCATGGTGTGGAGTGATTCCGACCCACAGCGCCCCTAGAGGACAGAGTGGAACTGCCCACAGGGTCTCC